CCCCAGAGCCCTCAGTCCCTCCTTGTGTGGCCCCTCCAGACCCTTCCCCATCTCAGTATCCCAACATGAAGATGAGATGGCACCACCTGGAGACACGTGCTCATCTCTGTCACCTCTTGTGGCCAGGACACCTCCTCTGCAGTGGCCTGAATGCTTGGATTTTTCAGCACAGCATTTGGGTTCTCACCACCACATTCAAAGCGACCACAAACCCAACCAGAGTTTGAAGTTTGTGAAGGGACAACTTTTTCTTTTCCTCCTAAAAACCTCAAGCCAAACTCTGCTTTTCGCTGGCTGCCAGGTGAGTTCTGGATTTAACCTCATGGAGACTCAGCACCCATTATTTCCTTAGTAAAACTTTTTCTAGCAAAACCAGGAAAGGCATTTCCCCCCTCCCAGCCTGCTCTGACACCTCCATTCCCCACACCTCAGGCTGAGCTGTGCAGCTGGAGGGAGCAGAGCCCACATGGGAGGCAAACACAGCTTCCTTACGCATTTTTGGGCTCCCCTGGCAGTGGAAAAAAGCAGCTTTTGTGTGTTCTGGTGCTGATTGGGGCTGTCTGGCTCTGTCACCGTGCACAGACCCCGGGGAGGTGACGTCCAGCCACGCTCATGTGGCACAGTGGGAGCTGTCAGAAGGGTTTTGTGTCTCTGGGCTCTGCTGGGGAATTGTTTCTTTACTGAGGTTGCTGCTGCCTGGTGCTGCTAAAGAGGAAAAAATTCACTAAAAGCCCTCATGAGAGCACCCAGGCAGATGTGAAGAAACCTCATTTAGTCCCAAAATCAGAGCCGATCACGAAAATTAAATATCTGTGCCCTGTTGCCAAGTTCTGGACTCGTTGTCCAGCAGCTGAGTCCCCCATTTGCACCATGGCAGGAAAACAAGTGATAAAAATCACAGTTCTAAATGTAAATAATACCAGAAGGTCCTGGACAAATGGCTTAGAGCCCTGCTCATCCCAAATCCCACACTCAAGGGGGGACAGGCTCCTCCCGAGGCAGAGCTCCCTTCAAGGATGAATAGCCCCATTACAGTGGGCACTCACCACTTTCTTTAGCTCAAAATTATGAAAAATTAAAATATTCTCACTCATCAACAGCTTTCCTTGGTTTGAGAAAGAAATGAGGAACGTGCAGAGCCTCTGACTGCCCAGCCCTGCTGCCCTGTCCAAGGATTTCCCATGGGAAGCCCCAGGAAAAGCTCTGCAGAGCTCTCACAGGGATGGAGCTACCTGGGATGGGCATCCCAGGGTTTTACCTCTGCTAAACCCAACTGGGCTGCAGATCTCTTCAAAGCCAGGCTCAGGAAAGCTGAGGGATTTTCTGTGCCTGGCTGAGCTCCCTGAATGCTGCCACAAACACCTCTGTTCTTAGGGAATATTCCTCACTCCATAGTGAAAGTCCTGGGGTGGGGACCGGCCACTGTCCTGTGCTTTGGGCAGCACTCAGGTGATAATCAGCCTTAATGATTCATTAGACAAGTGACTTTGTGCTGAAACTTCCAGTTTATCTAAAACCCAAGAGCAGAGGGAGGAGCACAAGCACCCCCTGCTCCATCCTGTGCTCCTTTGCCATGGGACAGGAACCAGCAGGGCTGGGACACAAAGCTCAGTGTCGGAAAGGAAAACAGTGAGAAAATCATCAGGCAGCTCCCATGGACACAGCCTGTGCTGAGCCCATCCCAGCTGTTGGAAATGCAAGATGTCGTTGGGGCTGTGTGTTCTATCCCCATCTGCCAGAGCTGGGGCAGTTCTCTGCTGTCCATGGGCAGTTGTTTCTTTCTCTCTCCCCCACCAACCCTCCCTCCAGGAGATCTCTGCTGTCCATGGCCACTGAGTGTCCCTGCAGGGCTGATCCCATTCCAGCATCCCATGGGGAGATGCTGCGCCCAGGGGAGGAGCCAAGCATTCCTACCTGGATCCAATCTGAGCCTGGCACAGCANGGTGGTGCCTCTTGCCCCCTTCCTGCCCCCTGCTACGGTCGCTCTTCCCTTCCTTGCTGCCCCCTTCCACCTCCTTGCTGCGGCTCCGGTGCTGCCGGTGCCGCTCCTCCTTGGTGCCAGCCCCGGCTTCGCCGCTCTCCTCCTTGGTGACATCTCCCTTCTCCTGCTCTCCCAGCTTCTCCTTCTCCCGATGGCGGTGGTGCTTCCTTGGCGCTTCTGCCCCATCGGCAGAGGTGGGTTTGGGGTGCTCCACCACCTCCTGGACATCCACGGGGCTCAGCTTGGTGAGGTTGTTCCTGCCCTCGCTGCGGGGCTCCACGACCAGCGGCCGGTCCAGGTGGGTTTTCATGTCGGGACGGATGTGCAGGGTGGTGGCGTAGCGGACGCGCTCCTCGGGGTCCAGCTCGTTGTACAGCGCCTCGCAGCTGGCTCGGAAGTTGTGCATCCGGATCTGGCTCGTCCTCTGCTCCCAAACCGACTTGGATTTGGAGGAATTCTGCTGCTTGCTAAGGGCGGGAGAAAGGTGATAAGTCAGCACCCAACTTTGTGCCAATTCTCTAAAAAAACAGGGGATTTTTAGCTGAGGTGGGGAATTAGAGGGTCAAACCAAAGGAGTAACAGGGATGGAGAGAGAACATAAGCAGGGAAAGCCAGCAGGATCATCCGTGTTAGTTTGCCCACACACTATGAGATCAGCCCTCTGGAAAGGAGTTATTCTGCGTTTCGGAAATGTGGAAGCCTTGGGAATAGTCTGAAGGATTAAAACGTCAGCACACAAAAATCACACACCCCAGCCAGAGCCTTGGAACAGCCCGCAAAGCTTCCCAAAATTAGCAGCACTTTTCTCCCCACCTGGAAATATCTGGATGATGAAATTAGTGGTGAGCAAGAGAAGTTAGATCAGCAGGAGGAGCAGGGAAAATCAAACCTGTCCCTGAGGATGCACCAGCCCCTTCCCCTTCCAGCCAGCCCCAGGGCTTGTTTTCCAGCTGTGCTGCCCTGCCGGCTCAGGAACAGGTTTAAAACTGCTCTAAATCCACAGCATCCTTCCAGGTGAGCATGGACCAGCCAGCCCACACATCAATGGAGAATGGAAAAGTACAATTAGGAAATGAAAACTGTCCTGTGCACCAGGAAATGTGGGAGAGTCACACAGAGATCCATGAAAGATCCTGAGCTGGAAGGGATCCATCAGGATCATCAGCCCCTGTCCCTGCCC